TTTTTTGTTGTATATAATTATTATTAATTTGTTAAATTAATAATAATAATAATAAAAATTATTTAGTTATATAAAAATAATAATTAACTATTTGAATTGAAACGTAAATATCAATTATTTTATATTTATATATATATATATATATTTAATGTAAGTTTATATTTAATCATCATTTTATTTATAATAACAACAATAAATAAAAAAAAATTTAATAAATATAAACAAAAAATCTCATAATCTTTTATAAATTAAATTTACAAAAATAAGCCATAAATAAATCGTTAATAATTATAGTAGTTTTTTACAACAAAATGTAATTATTATTATTATTATTATTTTTCTTTCGACAAATCTATGTCTCATTAAATTATATTATAAATTATATGATGAGTGGAGAGAAAGAGAGAGAGAGAGAGAGAGAGAGAGAGAGAGAGAGAGAGTAAAGAGAGAGAGATTATATATGAAAATAAAACACAAAATAAAACTAACAAAAAACATAAACAAAACAAAAAAATATATAATCAAAGATTTATTATAGCAAATGAAAACAATTTATTTATAGCCAGAAAAAAACTGCTGATATATCTTCATTTGGTGAGAGAGAGAGAGAGAGAGAGAGAGAGAGAGAGAGAGAGAGAGAAAGAGAGAGATTGAAATCAATTTTTTTGGGCACACATTATGTTATTTCGCATGACTTTTATATGGTTTATACTCTCTCTCTCTCTCTCTCTCTCTCTCTCTCTCTCTCTCTCTCTCTCTCTCTCATGCTTTTTGAACATATCATCAAATAAAGAGAGAGAGAGAGAGAGAGAGAGAGCAACAAAAAAAAAGATTGAGCCGAAAAAAAAGTCAAACAAAGTTTACCGGATATTAAATTAGTTGGTCTTAAATATAGTCTTATATATATAGTAGCAATATATTGGATATACTGTATCTACTATTAGAAGATAAGGCATTAGATAGTCAATTGAATATAAATTTTTTTCTTCTAGGCCTAAGAGCTTAGGTATTAAAAGCAAAACACATACACACATAACAACAACAACAACAAAAATTATTGAAAGTATTCAGAAATAATATATATATATAAAGAGTGGGTGAGTGAGTGAGTGAGTGAAAGACTTGAGATTCACTTTTTGTTTGTCTTAAAAACATATATAAAAAAAGAAAGAGAGTTAGAAAGAGAGTTAGAAAGAGAGTTAGAAAGAGAGAGAGAGAGAATTAGAGAGAGAGAGAGAGAGAGAGAGAGAGAGAGAGAGAGAGAGAGAGATGAGTTGAGACTAAATCCCTAACCCTAAGAGTCAGTCAGTGCCTGAGCTGAGCACAGATGCTAATCCCCTTACCAGTAGTAGTAGTAGTAGTAGTAGTAGTAGTAGTAGTAGTAGTCTATATGTCTTTCATTCAAACTTATAACTAACAACTTCAATGTACAGTATATGTATGTAATACTGTAATAGTTGTTTTATATAACTGTGGAGAATGCATAGCACCGTATAGTTGTGCATACATGCCCCGGTGCCTCAGCAATCCCTGTGCTAAAAAAATAAATGTATATACGTTTATACTGTATATACAATATATATATATATACAGTATATATATATAGTCTAACATTTAGTTAAGAAGTTTTTCCTGTGCTTTATATTATTATCTCATTTTAGTTCAGCTTTTTTTCTCTCATCTCATCTTAACTCAACTCTCTCTCTCTCTCTCTCTCTCTCTCTCTCTCTCTCTCTCTCTCTCTCTCTCAGTCATTGCAAGTCTTTTATTTTCGCCAGAAATATATTATATATATAGATATATATACTTTCATTTGTTGTCTATTTTTTTAAGTATTACTACTATTTGAATGAATCTCTTTTCTCTAAATAAGCTTTTCTGTTCATCAATTGATTAGTTAGTCTCTCTCTCTCTCTCTCTCTCTCTCTCTCTCTCTCTCTCTGTATACTACTATATGTTTCAGTGAATTGTATTGACGACACACACACACACACACACACACACACACACACACGATATATATACCAGTGCTCGGTATTATAGTTAGTATAGCAATAGTAGTAGTAGTAGTAGTAGTAGTTATACCTCTAAATACTATATACAGAGAATAAAGTTTAACTTTTATACTTAAATACCGTATTATTATTATTATTATATAAAAATAACTGTTAATATGTTAGCGATGAGTGCATATACAGCATAACAGATATATATATACTTTAGATACAGTATATACTGTTTTACAAGACAACATACATGAGCTCCGGAGATACATACAGCTATATATTTCTATATATAGGATTGGATTGGATAGTATATACAGAGCACATACCTAAAGCACTATTAGTTTTGACAACCGGCAGTATAATGAGGCCGTCATCGCTAATCCATAGAGAAACTTCATATAAATGCTGTACAAAATGACAGTGCAATATGACATCCGATCCCATACTGACACTGCTGTCCACATTACGTACGTCTACCGGCTGTTTGTCGATCACTATAGAAATAATAATAATATTATTTAGTTATTAATAAATAAAACAACAAAAATTATATGATATTATATAGTATTTACTTATGATATGTTAGGGATTAAACTATATGTTATTATTATTATTATTATTATTATTATTATTATTATTATTATTATTATTATTATTAATACAATACTAATATAATATAGTGTATTATTAGACAGTAATATAAGATAATTAAAATAAATAAAATGTTTAATACTTATTAATAATACTTTTAGTAATAACTAAAAGTTGACTAATTATAATATATAAAAATTTTTGTGAATTTAATTTTTTTTAGTAAAAAACTTGACACATAATTATTAAATAAAATGAACTTGTACAAAAAAATTGTTATCAAAAATATCAACTATTAATTAAAAMATAATTTATTTATTTTTTAATTAATATTTAGTGTATACTTTATATTGTAGTTATAAATATGTAAAAAATTAATATTCATAATTATAGACACATTAGTTATTAGTTATTATTATTATTACTAATAATATATTTATAATAAAATTTATAGTAAATAATTTATAAAATTTTTGAAAATAATTATTATTATTATTAATTKGTATTAACAAAATTACTAAATAAAAAAAATTAATTCACTATTTAATAAATTTAATTTAGTAMAACAAAAACAACATTTGATATATTTTTWAAAAAAATATATATCAATAGATATAAAATATAATATTATTTTATATAATAAAATAACTAACCAAAATACACTAAAATTAACTTTAATGTTGCGCTTCAATAAACATAACATAGTTGACCTACCAGTCCCCCCATACATACACACATTCATACATACACACATTCATACATACACACTTGACCAATTGCACCTAGCACATATTAACATTTATAATACCAACAAAAAAATAACAACAACACATAGGTTTATATATATCTTTAAAAGTATTAGTAGTAGTTATAGTATATATCTATTGTTTTATGTATTTTTTTTGTCTCTCTCTCTCTCTCTCTCTCTATTATCTATTGAAACTTTTACTATAAAAAAAAATATTTATTTTTTTCACAAAAAAAAAGTTTTCTATTTTATAAATATATTTTTATTTTTCATCAGAAAATAAAGAAAAAACTATTTTAAACGTAAATCGAGTTATTCTGTATTCGGCTTTAGTTTTAGCTCTCTTTCTATTAGTATCTCTCTCTCAGTCTCTCTCTCTCTCTCTCTCTCTCTCTCTCTCTCTTCATCAATGAATGAATGAATTGTATCTTTACTTTCAAATAATAAAAATTCAGTCAAAAAAAAAAATAAAATACTGACTGCTCTTTCAACTGAAAAATTGAGTTCACTTTTCGGCAAAATGTATATAAAATTTACGATAAGTATATATATATATATATATATATATATAGAGAGAGAGAGAGAGAGAGAGAGAGAGAGAAAGTGAAATACATAGCAAATAAAAACACACACAAAAAAAGTTTAAATTTAAAAATAAAATAAGAAAATAAAATTTGGTTTCAAAAATACTCTGATGATATTGGATGTGGTTTTTATGTGTATGTGATTTACACACACAATATAACAACACCGACACAACAAATATCAAAAACATACAATCATTTTATATATATATATATAATAAAAAACAATAATAACAATAGCGGTTAAAACTAGTTTACATAATTTGTTTTGTTATTATTATTTTTTATATTAATTAAAATAAATTTTTATTTATAATTTTTCTAATATTAGATATATATATATATATATTTGTTTATCTAACTTTGATAAATATAAATATTATTTATTTTATGTATATTTAATTATAAGTAATACATATATTAAAAATCTTAAAATTTATTGATATTATATATATATATATATTATAGTATATTTGATGACATATATATTAATATAATGTCTTAAATTTGTAAAATCTATTAAATATAATTTATGATTATTATTATTATTATAATGTAAACTATTAATGATTTATCTTAAAAACATATATTTAAAATCTAATAAATTTGTATACAATTTATTTGACAGTATATCGTAATTTTGTTTAAAAAATAAAATAAGATATATAATCAACAATAATAATAACAACACACAAATTGCTACACAAATATCATTAGTAAAATTTATATATATCTATATATATAATATATATAAATTTACTGTATATTATTACTGTATATAAATATATAAATAAAAAATAAAATATAAGTTTAAATATAAACATAAAAACTATTTGTTATTCTTATCAAGTTTTCTCTCTCTCTCTCTCTCTCTCTCTCTCTCTCTCTCTCTCTTTGACTATACTATACTACTGAGCATAAAAAATATTGTTAGTTTTATTTATTTATTTTTTTGAAGTAGTTTTGTAGTAGTAATGTATAATGAGAGTGAGTGGGTGAGTGGGTGAGCAATAAAAAAATAGTGGGCCAATACTTTTGTCTGTCTATGTGTGTGTGTGTGTGTGTGTGTGTTATGTATGATTTGAGGGCTCAACTAATGATTAGGAGGTACTGTATATATATATATATATATAAAGAAAAAGTGAGAAAAATTTTGATGTAATCTTTTTGGTAGCAATTTTTGGATTTCTCTCTCTCTCTCTTTCTCTCTCTCTCTCTCTCTCTCTCTCTCTCTCTCTCTCTCTCTTTCGGCATCACATATGCCGTACACATTAAATAATACGATACGTGATTACATAAACTCACCCGATATTTACCAATTGTATGGTAGGATATACTGTATATTTTGTATGTATACTAACTATAGTATAGTAAGGACATACACACACACACATACACACACATATACACACATACATACATACATACATACGCACATACATACACACATACATACACACATACATACATACATACACACACACACACATACATACAAACACACACATACATACATACACACATACAAACATACATACACACATACAAACATACATACACACATACATACATACATACACACATACATACACACACATACATACACACACACACACATACATACAAACACACACATACATACATACACACATACAAACATACATACACACATACAAACATACATACACACATACATACATACATACACACATACATACACACACATACATACACACACATACATACATACAAACACACACATACATACATACATACATACATGTGTGTGCAGTTTGAATGAATATTTACAATAAATGCACAAACATTACTGTATATAATATCATATCATATATTTTTTCCCATATATTATATAAGTGTATTTCATATACAGTATATATATACCAATATTATATATATATAAATTATCCTAATTTAAGCATACACATAAAAAATAGCCATAAAAATATATATATATATATAACCTATAATCATCATAATATTAAGTATAATACTGTTTATAATAATAATATAATTTTAAAATTTTGTAGAAATAATATTAAAACATAATAATTATAATTTAATTTTTTTTTATAAAATTATTATAAATTTGTTATTATATTTTCATTTACTAATATTATGTTTAGTTGTGTTTTAATTTAATATTTTTTTGGTATTATTTTTACCTTTAATACAGTATACTATACTTTCACTACAACAACAACAACAAAAGTGTTTCAATTTAATACATCTATATATATATATATTGAAAATCACTAATAAAATTAGTTTTTGTGGACCATATCGTTGTTATAAATGAGATATTGTCTCTCAGATTTCATTACACATATATATTGCATATATATATATATATATATATATATATATATATATATATATATGTATATATATATACAGTATATATATAAGTGTGTAAAACCTCTTGTGAATTGACAATTATATTGATTGGTTTGCTGTGTAAAGTGCATCACTACTACTACCCGTACTCTCTCTATATCAATGTAATTCCCATACATATAAACATAGTGTCTAAGTATGTGTGTGTGTATGTGTGTATGTGTGTGTATGTATGTATGTATGTATGTATGTATGTGTGTGTGTGTGTATGTGTGTGTATGTGTGTGTATGAGTATGTATATGTGTGTGTGTATGTATGTATGTGTATGAGTGTGTGTGTATGTATGTATGTATATGAGTGTGTATGTATATATGTATGTGTGGGTGTGTGTATGTGTATGTGTGAGTGTGTATGTGTATCAAAAAGTCAATGCTTTTTTGAGGCTTAAATCTGACAAATAGTTACCTTTAAGACACCCAAATGAGAGTGCAATCTCTCTCTCTCTCTCTTTATCTATATATTTGATAGTATTTTTTTCGCTACACTAGTAGACGCCAATTGAAATCATCAGTGAGTGGGTGAGTGAGTGAGTGTGTAAAACTCAAGATATATATATATATATATATAGTTTGTAAAGAGCATTGAGTTGTATATGTGATAACCTTTTACATTAAAATTTTTTACGTCTAAACTATAGTCCTAAACTACACTTGACTGACATTATATTATTGCCAGTGAATTACAAATGCAATATATTTAGTGTACAATATATACAATATATATATATATACAGTATATATATATATATATATATATATATACTATATATACTATATATCTGAAAGCTATTAGAGTTTTCTTCAAATTTTCTTTTATTTTGTAGAAAATCATATGAATTTATATTACATTTTAAAATAAAATAAAGAGAAAAAAAACTGTAGAAAATTCAACCTTATTTTACATTACTATTAGTTGTATTATTATTATTATTGACTACACCTATAGATACAACACTACACAACAACAAAATTGTGTGTTGTATTCAAATTAAAAATAAAATTGTAATAATAATAATAAAAAAACCTCATTTTCTAACAGCTATTTTAGTATTATTTTTTTTCAAATTAAAATTACACTTTAAAAAATTAAATAGTATAAGTAATATATATATATATATATATTGTGTAAATTGCAATATATTATATTATACTAATA